AAAGCATGACTGTAGTACTTGTTTTCTACTCCTTGAAGCAGCTGTGTCTTTGGCTGGGCTCACATGGCAGCTGCAGCATAGGCATCCTTTCGGGGGCACGGGGCAAGTGACCAAGTGTGCTCATGACATCATGACCCGAATCCTACAACTTATGCATTTGTTTCTAGCATCAGGTTGGAGGTATGAAGGGTGGGGCTTGTACTGTGATTTTACTGTATGCATATCTTCATTTTTTATTATCATGACTGTCTATGGCCATCTATGGAGAGCAGCTGAATATCTGCATATATCTAATCTAAAACTGGCTTTCAAATATCTGCACATATTAAGGCTTATAAAATATCTAATCTAGGGAGCACTATCCACCTTTCAACATCACTTTTTTTATGTTTGCAGGTGTTGGCAGCTACAAACCAAAAGATAATGAGCAAATTGTGGCCAATTTCACTAAATACTGAGTTATCACTTACAATACGACCTAGGACTAAGATTCAAGGCTGCTTTGTATCAGAAGATCCCCCTTCCAGACAAAAAGATATGGCAAGATGACAATAAAAATGCTGATTTGACATGTGCTATGTAGTGTATGTTTCAAATGGTTTAATAACTGAATGCCGACATCTGTAAAGAACCAATCTCTTTCCCATTCACAAAGTAAATCATTTTTGCTAGACAAAAGTAGATTAAAAGATAGTATACCACTGATAAAACCTTCTATTTTGAAAAAGACTGCCAATTATTTATCACATGTTGCCAGGGATATAGTGAGCATAGGGAAAGAAAAGATGGACGTACAAAATGTAGTTAAATAGATAAAACTCAGAGGCTAGCTGAAACATAATCAAAATAAAAGGGCAGAGATTTGAGTAACACTTTTATATGCTCACTTATCTATGTGTCCTATGCATATATGCTCACTTATTGATGTGTGCTATGTAGTGTATGTTTCAAATAGTTTAATAACTGAATGCTGAGATCAGTAAAGCACCGATCTCTTTCACATTCACAAAAGTAAATTTTTACAAGACAGTATAGCATCAATAAACCCTCTACTTTGAAAAAGACTGACAATTTTTTATCACATATTGCCAAGGATATATTCAGGATAGGGAAAGAAAAGGCTAGCTGCAAGCTGAAATATAATCAAAATAAATGGACAGACACTTAAATAACACTTGCATATGCTAATTTACATAGATTAATAAAAATTTAGACATGCATGATATAACTGAAAGAGAAATAAATACAACTTACTGAAATGGGAAACACTATGTTCAGATGACTTTTTTATCTGGTGAACTATCTGCTGATAGACATCTGCTTTCTCTTTTTAACTCTGGTTTTCAAATGCACCCTGTCTTTTGTAACAGTTATTGAAACAGAAGGTTGCCCTCTAAAGC